GAACTCTCTTCTCAGTCCCCTTCCCCATTTAGGTAAAGAGTTAGTGCTAGCTTCTCTGATATCTTAACTATCTCTAGGTGGTATTACTCATGATTTGATTTTCTAATGACATTTCAGTACAAAGAATTTTATGAGTATTCTGTGTCATTGGTATTTGTCTATGTAATGTTGAGTGTGTAGATAGCAATTATATATAAAATAATTCTATCATCATTTTTTTCAAACATTTTTTTGGAGCTAACCTCAGAATTGCAGCCCAGCATCAACAGTTATTGCCCTGGGCAATTTGGAAGAAGTTGATGAGATGATGCTCATTACCCTGAACAGTTTACTGTGTGTTTCCTGTTCAATGAGGCATTCTCCTATACATAAACACATTCAGTATTAAAAAACTCAAGATGCCAACACTGACTCTATTTCTATCTCAAAAAGATAGAAATATTCATATTTGCTGACTATACCAAAACATCCTTCACAGCACATGGATTTAATTCAGAACCAAGTGCCATATATACGTGTCCTGCTAATTGTTCATCTCCTTTAACTAGGAACAGTTTTTCTGTAATTTCCTTTAATTTTTTAATTTAGACAATTCTGAAGAGATTAGTGGGTATTGTTTTATAATTATATAAAAAAATTTCTGATGCTTTTTCAGAGTAAGATTCTGGACATGCACTTCTGGCAAGACAGCAGAGAAGTGGTATCATGTTCTCATTGTGTAACACAGAGGAGACAAGATGATTTTGAGTTGTTCCATTAAAATGTAAATTTGAACACTGGATTAAGCTGTGTGGTGGTTTCAATGAGGAATATCCACTACAGGCTACAAATATTTGAACATTTTGGCTCCAGGTGGCAGCACTGTTTGGGGAGGTTTAGAGGTGTGGACTTGTTCGAGGAAGCTCATCACTGGAGGTGGGCATTGAAATTCCGTAGTATTGCCCCATTTCTAGTCTGTGTCTCTCTCCTGTGTAGGCTTGAAGATGTGAGCTCTCTGCTTTCTGTTCTGGCTGCCTCCTGCCATGCCTCCCTGCTGTGGTGGGCTCCTATTCTTCTGGAACAGTACACAACATAATAAATCATTGCCTTGGTTGCAATAAATAACTAATAAAAGCTGGTATTCATCAAACTTTTCTGGCAAGAAGATACTTGAGACTATGAAAAGGTAATGCTTTCCATCAGATGCCCAGTCTCTTTATTTCACGTATGGACTGATGTTTTCTTGCTTTACTTAATGAGTGTTAATCTATTAGGATCTTTTTTTAAATTATTTTTATTTTATGTGTATAAGTGTATTGTCAGCATGCATGTAAGTGTACCCCTGTCATGCAGTGCCCACAGAGGCCAGAAGAGGGCGTTGGATCCCCTGGAACTGGAGTTATGGATGGTTGTTAGCCACCATGTGGGTGCTGGGAAACAAACCTGAGTCCTCTTAAGAGCAGCCAGTGCTCTTAATTGCTGAGTCATCTCTCCACCCCTAGGATCATTATTTTGAACTCAAATTGTTTGTATTTGTGACTTGTGGGAGACCCTTTAAACTCCTGCTTCTGTGGATTTTTAACATCTTTCTTTCTTTACTTTCTAGCACAAGATCATATAGGGGTATCATTTCCTGTTCTAGCACTGGAATAAGCTATTTCTTCAAAAAGCCCTGGTTCTGTATGCTGCTTTTGCACTTGGGCCTGCAATCACCAATGGATGATAAAAAGCAGGTTACAAGCTTGGTGTCTCTCCTTTGATTTTTGTACCTGTCTTCTTTTACTACATTTTACTTTGGGTCAGATTCTTTCTTGGGCTAAGCATAAATATGCTAATAATTTAGGGAATGCCTGCCAAAAAAACCAGATAATGATAGTAAATTTACTTATCTTCTTTGATCCCCTTTCAAGAGTGAAGACACCAAGATAAGAGTAATTAAGATGTTTCAAGATTTCAGCAAGATTTCTTTCTTTTAGTTTTTAAAAGATTCTTTTTTTTTTTTTAAATTTCTGTGTATATCTGTATGTATGTTTGCCATATGGTGTATTTCACTTTAGGACCTCTAAAGCTGGAGTTACAGGTGGTCGTAGGCCACTTGATGTAGGTGATGGGAACCAACCAGGTTCTCTGGAACCTGAGCGCTTGTGACTGGATTAACCGCTGAGTCATCTCTTCAGCTCCCTTCTTCACAGCAAGATTTCTTCCAGGCAGATGGCCTAGTGATGGGACTGACCTTTCCTAAGAGGAAGCAATTGCTCCATGGCAGGAAGTTCCCTAAAGAAGAGCAATCATCCACCGCAAGATGGAGAGTAAAAGGCTCCCTAAAGAACAAGGGCTTCTCTAGGATCTTGTCAAAGCAGATGAAATCATCATCTAAGAGCTCACAGCCTGATCAAAGCTTTAATTTGGTTTTTCTCTTACTCCTGCCCAACTCTTCCCCTATTTAAACCTCACTTATGCCAGTAACCAGAAAGAAATTGCTGAAGAGGCCAGACCCCTAGTTTTCTTGATATAGCTATATGATTGAATTTTTCCTATATGAACTTTCCTTTGCTGTTCCTGAAGGTAACTTATGCAACATAGAGGTATTATTTGACAACGCAAGAAATCTTCTCTCTGAAAATTTCTACTCTGCTGCTGATGTTGTTGAGACCCCCTGAAGGCAGGCATACCTTTGGCCTAGAAGTGAAGCAACAGTTGTAGTTACTGGAAAAGAGTATTAGAAATCAAGACCTGGGACTGGGCTATAGCTCAAAGCCCTGGGTTCAGGCCCTAGCACACATACCTGACCTGCTGCCGCATTACTGAACTGTCCACACTTAGGGTTTCTCATGCAAATTGTTTTTTTAGAAAATTATATAATCCTTTCTTTAAGCACTGCATATTACTGTCACAGTGTACTTTCCAGTAAATTTGTCATAGTATTTTCCATAAGAAACAAATATTTATGACACACAAAGCACCAGGATTTGAGGAATAATAAAATATCTAATTTGTGCTCTATTATCTAATTGCCAAGGTTGCATAATTTAAAACTTCTTGAAGATGTAGTTCCTAAATCATTTTCAAAACAGCTCAGAATTATAAAAAGTCTTATTTCTCATAAGTGAAACAGGTTTTTGTCTTACCCAGAAAATAACAGGTATTCAATAAATATATTTTGAAGGATAAATTCTCTGTTAAGTATCTCGTACAATTATATTACTTTTATAAATGCCATTGGTATATTTACATAGTAATACATTCTCCTCTGACAGAATTTCAGTCTTGTTTCTACTTAAAATTATGTGTAGAATACATGCACTTATGAGTTGTATATAAACCTCTACAACTTTTCATATATATATATATATATATGCTGGCTTATGATGCAACTACTATAGATAATTAAAAATTATTGAAGTCCCACCCTTTCAAATCAAGCAGATGATACGTATCAAAGGATGATCATGAATTTCTGTCTTTAAAACACTCCATGACCTTTCAGTGTGAAGCCTCTCATATATAGACACAATGATCTGTAGTTTTTCTGCAAATACAGCAAAATCCTTGACATGTAAGGATAAAAAGTCATTCATTACTAGTGACACAGCAAATGTCCTGTAAATAGATTTACAGGAAGCAGGTTGACCACAGATCTAATTTTCATGAAATCCAAGACATAATCTGAACTGACTGAGTTTGAAGTCTGAATACAATGTATTCAAGCTAGAGTCATTGTTTGATAACACAAGAAATGTAATGTTCTCTAT